AGGCTGAGCACAAAGAAAAAGACGCCGGTGCCGAAAATGACCATGTAGATGTTCAGTGGCAGGTCCTGGAACGTGATGGGGGGCATCGTGCAGGGTTTACTGGTATAAATCAGCCCCAGACTGCAGGAGCACCCTTTGGGGGAAGAGAAAAGTCAGCATTTAGGAGGGAAGCAGGGGAAAAAGAGGTGAAGAAGATGTGCTGTGAGAGCGGAGAGAACCTGGGCTGACTCCGTCCCCTCCGGAGTTTGCAAAGTGGGCAGAAACCGACACCAAGACATCGCCTCGTGGCCTGCGAACGGGAGAGCTCCCCAGCAAGGGCAGCAGCCCCTTAGCACAGCCCAGCACAGCACAGGCAGCGGGCACCGCTGCATTTCCACAGCCACGAAACCCTTCTCCAGCAGCACAAACGTACCCCAGGCAGAATCCAGGCGTCCGGGAGAGGCGGAGGCCCCACGCTTTCATCTCCAGAGAAATACATGGAGGCTGGAAGGGGATTTAGGGAAGGACAGAGCGAAAAAAGAGCTTGAAAAACAAGAACAGTTGGCGTCTGTCATTGCTCCACAGGAGCCAGAAATGGCAAGCAGCTGGTTCATCCCCGGCGCCGGGCGAAGCGCGGGTGCTGTGCAGGAGCACGTCCAGCACCGCCGTGACCGAACCCCCTCTCCGAGCAAAGCCGTGGGCGCCAGCACGCCGCAGCTTTTTTGGCCCCCGTCTCCCGCGGCGAGTCGGACCCCGAGGGGAGGCACGGAGGGGGGCATCACGCAGAGCCGTGGCCGCGTGGCCACCCCTGAGGGTCCCCACCCAACCCGGGGAAAGGCACGGAAATACCAGACCCACTGCAGCTGCCTCTGCTGGGAGCTGATGCGAAGTCAGGCTCTGGCACTAAACAAGCAGCGCTTCTTACATCTTGAAATCACGCCGACCCCACAAGAGCTGGAGCTTTGATTTCTCACCAGATCTCGCCCAGACAGGACTTTAAAGGAGAGCAGCCCCTGAGCACCATCTGCGCCCCGCAGAGCATCTCCCCCCGCCCCCTCCACCCCGCACCCTCTGCTCCCCAGCTG